CTACAGTCGGGTTCAGACAGAATTTTGATGGCTACAGTCGGGTTCAGACAGAATTTTGATGGCTACAGTCGGGTTCAGACAGAATGTTGTCAGCTACAGTCGGGTTCAGACAGAATGTTGTTGCCTACAGTCGGGTTCAGACAGAATTTTGTTGGCTACAGTCGGGTTCAGACAGAATTTTGATGGCTACAGTCGGGTTCAGACAGAATTTTGTTGGGCTACAGTCGGGTTCAGACAGAATTTTGTTGACTGCAGTCAGATTCAGCCAGTTGTTTGGCGTTCAGTCATAAAGGCAGAACTTTGTCAGGCTACATTCAGGTTCAGACAGAATTTGGTTGGCCTGCAGAATTAGTCAACATTACCATTTGCATCTTGTTTGCATTTCTTACATTTTAGATTTCAGATTTAATTTGCATAGTTGATTTTCAGCAATGTAGGGTCCAGAAAGAAATGGTCACCTCAGACGTTGAGGTTCACTTATGCTGCCCTTAAACCGAGTTTTTCAAAATGTTTTTAATGCAAATGATACCTTCGTCCATTTCCAGTAACTTATTAAATCCTGAACAGGTTTGTTTGGAAGAAAACAATATCACGTGTAAATATTTAGTGACAGTATTAGCTCGTGAATAATGCTGAAGGCCATCCTTTTGTGGTAATATAAACACTCATCAGCAATCAGACTCTCACCTTTTGACCAAAAGTGTTTCAATATGTGCTTTAAACAACAGTTTGTAAATAAATATTGCCATCTTATTCATGCCATAGAAGACCCTTTGATTATGAAGCTTAGTACTGAAGATGAATATACCAGGCATGAGTCAGAAATTTCACCTAAAAAGTCTAAAGAATCAAATCATAAATGCGAGTTTAGTTCAGCAGTTCAGCTCCTTTCTAATGTTCTACATTCTTGCATTAAAGATCCACTGAATGTCTGATCTCTGCTCCATAAGAGGGCACTGTAGAGGCTGAATCTTACGTTTCGGTCGGAGGTTTTAATCTGTTTAGTCCAAAAAAGGAAAGACATAAAGACGACTGCAGCCGTGGAAAGTGTACCACACACGGAAAAGAAGCTCCACAAAGCAGCTAGTACAGAGCACAGCTATAGCACATAGGATGGTTCCCAGAAAAACGTGGAAAAACATCAAGCTCAAGCTCATTTTATACTCGTATACTCTGTATATAGATTTCATAATCATTTAGTGAATGTATCAGGGTTAGTATCAGCTAACTAACTAAGCACTAGCCCACTGTTTCCCAGCTAAAAGGTATGAGGTGAAATATGTGTAGACAAGTAATGTTAGCTGAGGTGACAACAGACAATTCGACTTTGTCTGTTTATTTTAAAGACTTTCTTGGTGTCAATATCAAATTACATCTCACCTTATATAGAGTTCTGTAGTCTGATTAATCTGAATAAATTTCATGAAGTGAAATAAAAATAGAGAAATGCTGAGTGGGACATTGAGCTGAATGCTGAACGTTAAAAATTAATTTAACCTTCATTAAAAACATGTTTTCCAATTTTTGGAACTTTGTCCAAAAAATGCTTGAAAATAAGTTTTAATTTAATTTTTTGTTTTAGTTTATTTTGTTAATTTTTGAAAATAACGGCTTACAAATTAGCACCAAAATGTCCTTCTATGAAAGGACAAGGCAGTATTTTTTACATAATTGGACAGTAACAGCAAGAATATTCAAATTTTTAAGGTTGATGCAGACTTTTGAACAGAACTGCTTATTTTCACCATCAGTTTTCCATAACATGGTTGCAAAGTCACTCTTAATTGCTTGGACACTGCAGCACGCTGGACCATTCAAATCAGTGCCTGGAGAATTTGACAAATTCTACGAGATGAAAGGACTTTTAATGCTATCAGCCTTGAAAATAAAACCCACCGAGTTACTGCTTTTAATAAACAACACGGTTTGAGTCTCTGCCTTTGAAAGAGTCAGAACAGAACGACCCGACTTTGTTCTTTTTTTACTCACTGTCTTCATACTGATGCATTAAAGCAGCTTATCAGACCGGCGCAAAGGTCTGAGCGTGTTTTTGACAAAGCGCAGGTTTTTGACGAACCTGTTTCTCTGGCGGAGCTGCTGGCAGCCTGTGAGAGAGTTACAGCTGTTGAAGGGCGGGAGAAAGGCCTCTATTATTCGGAGGCTGTCATGCTCTGCAGCTTCTCTTTGTTACACTTTTTTTTAAAAGCAATCGCTCGTCTGTATTATTTATCAGCGTGGAAAGTATCTGTATTCAGGCCTCCGGCGCACTCGGTGAGCGCAGGAGCGGCGTAACATTCTCAATTCAGAAAACAGAGACAAATAAACAAACAGGAACGTCAAGCCGAAGTTGCCTTACAGGCGTAAAACGGGGACACGCAGATTAGACTATATGAAAATAAAATGGCGAAAGGCTTGGAAATAAAAACAAACAAACCTGGAGTGCTTTATATTTGCTCTTAAAGCAGTAGTGAGAGCAAAACCTCTTAGCACAAATGTTGTTCATCAAGCAAGATGCATTTAGTATCTCAGGTTTGCTTCCTTAGTTTTGCACTGGAGCTACAATGCTAATGTAGGTACCAAGCAATGGAAGCTTGTACTTCACCAGTTAGCATTATGCAAACATGCCAACATCAGTTATCAGTTTGACTCGCTTAAGTGGTTTCTGACTGTATGACACACTGTTATCTATAGCTTAGCAACATACATTTATCCATTTTGATTGACTATGGAATAAAAATGTATAAATTAGATGTTTTGCCACACTTTATCTTGAACAGATTAGGGATACTGGAAGAGGATTTATGTTTAAATGTGTTTTCCATTTGTGTCTGTAGGCACTGGAAGGAAATTACAAAGAAAATAAAGGAAATTACTCAAGTACGAGTAAATAAGTAGTTTATTGTAAAACTACTTTAGTAATCAAGTTACTTTTTTGTATATCTGCAATCACATCTGCAGTAACATTACCCATTACCATGGCTGCGTTGGAAATAATCCGTACAGACAAAACTAAGGAAGAACGTAATATTTCCATGAGGAAAAAATCTTGAGACGGATCAAAATCTGCTACCGCTAGTGCAGGTTTAAACATCTTTCCTCGTACTCTATAAGGAGCAAGGTTTACCATGAAGTACGTGAATTTTGATTGTTTAAGACTTTGTAGATTGGCTGTTTTTAATAAAGTCATTTGGAGAGTTTGTTACTGTTTAATTAAGTGTGTATTTTAAAAAAGCCATTAACTCAAAATTACGAGTAGGTTACTCAATTAATAATGTAATTATTAGTGACATTAGCACCCTGAACATTAGCTTACATGAATTTAGAAGTGTCAACATCTACAGACGTCACATTCACAGCCGTCAAACTGTATAAATCAGCCGAAACCTGTTTAGAACATTTCTGCCATTAAAATCATTCAACAGCAACAACAGCGGTTTTCCAGTGTTGATTATGTTTGCTAATTGAGCTACTTCTGGTAACGATACTGATAACGTCATACATTTTTTACTTTTTTTTAACAGTTAAACATCTAAACAGTCTCGCACAATTAAAGATAAACGTAAAAATCGCCTCACAGCAAGAAGGGCCTGGGTTCGATTCCCCGGCCGGGTGACCAGGGTCCTTTCTGTGTGGAGTTTGCATGTTCCTCCCATGTCTGTGTGGGTTTCCCCCCACAAATCCTGGACGAGCCCCCACTGGTTATGTCTTAACCAAAGGCTCGGGTCTAGAAGGAGGAAGGGACAGTAACAAGGAAATGTAGGGCGCACAGTCTAACCCGCCCTTCCTCCCAGGATAAAAGCACCAGGTTAAGTCTAAAGCCAGTACACAGAGACAAACACTGGACCCTTTTCACAGAGAGTCGCATTACTTCCGGTTTAAGCGTTAGCAGGGTAAGACTCACTTACGTTCCATATAACTACTGCAGAAGCGATGACAAAATATTATAGTTGTGTACCATAATGCTCCAACACTGAGCTACAACAACTATATTTTAGTTTTCCTGCACTGTCGTGACGAACAGCGAGAATAAGAAGTGGATGGAAGCACTGATTTAACTTTAAATAGCCTAAATAGCCTTGTTTTTACTGCTGTCTGCTGCAGCTGCTTCACATCAAACAGTCTCTGTGTCTTTCTACAACATGTCAGTGATTTCTGTAAGATTTCTGTTTTCAAAAGAAACAAGAACTTTTATATGTAGCGTGAATTTGATGGACGCTGACTAGAAGCTACTGCTAACAATAGCTGTTATCCCAAACTAGATCATCCGGCTGGCATAAAGCAGCTTTTCTGCATCACCAGTTAATTTTGAACTCATCTTTAAAAAGCTAATGAGGCAATAAATCGTCAATGAGATCATTCTTACATGGTCAGCTTGGTACAAACAGCTAACGATAGCTGGCACATTATGTCAGAAACCTTACGTGGCTCTTCCCAGATAGCTAGTTTGGTAATACTTTTACCCCTAGGTGTGTGTGTGTGTGTGTGTGTGTGTGTGTGTCTGCCTTGTGATGGACTGGCGGCCTGTCCAGGGTGTTTCCTGCCTTCTGCCCATTGTAACACTGGGATAGGCTCCAGCACCCATAAGAACCAGGAGGATAAGCGGGTTAGATGATGAATGAATGAAAATCCAGGCGCGGTAACGTTACAGTTTCTTAAAGCCAGACTGAACAATGATGTCAGTATCATAACACTGTTTAAACTCTGAGTGATGCTCTGTTTTCTCTGCTGTTCGATTCAAGTCAATTATCACTTTTGTAGCAACACTCAGTGCCTGCTATTAAATGCACGAGTGCAGTATTACCACACTTACTGAAGTCTACAGGTACATTTTACACATTAATTTTACCCCAAGCTTCATAAAATACATTCTTTGTGGGTGACAACTAAGGCGAACCGCTAGCAGTCAGCTGTCAGTATCGTGACAGCGTTGTGACATTAAGTGGTTATATTTCTTCTTCTGTTTTTAAAGCACCTTCATGTTTTTCTTTTTTGCTCAACAGACACTGAGCTGCTGTACCGTAACCGGGATGGAGATGTGGTCAAACACAACGTGGAGAGCAACACCACTGTGGTTCTGGTGGAAAACAAGATGTTTGTGAGTAGTTTTTGTAGCCAAAGAGTGAATAACACAGTATGTTTTTCATGACTCATATATACCAAGAAGGTTGGGACTGTTCGTGAAATGCTAATAATAACAGAAAGCGGTGATTAGTAAATTCCATTTGACCTGTATTAAATTTAGAATGGTACAAAAGCATAATATTTTATGTTTTACCTTTTGGATTTTATTGTTTTCTTTGTCTGCAACACTTTCCAAAAAGGTTTGGACAGAAGCATGTTTACCTAATCGTTTGTTCTTCATATTGTCCCACACATTTTCAATGGGGGACAGGACTGGATTACAGACAGCCCAGACTAACACACGCACTCTCTGATTGGACATAATGTGTTGTGGAAATAAGTATTGATGCCTCTGAAAAAAACGCCATGTAGTATTTGTGTGTATTGTTTATGTGTATTGTATGAACACTGATCCTTGTTTCTACGCTCATTGTCCATTTTATCAGCTCCACTTACTATATAGGTGCACTTTGTAGTTCTACAGTTACAGACTGTAGTCCATCTGTTTCTCTGATGCTTTGTTAGCCCCCTTTTACCCTGTTCTTCAGTGGTCAGGACCCCCATGGACCCTCACAGAGCAGGTACTATTTGGGTGGTGGGTCATTCTCAGCACAGCACTGACGTGGTGGTGGTGTGTTGTGCTGTTACGAGTGGATCAGACACAGCAGTGCTGCTGGAGTTTTTAAACACTGTGTCCACTCACTGTCCACTCTATTAGACACTCCTACCTTGTCAGTCCACCTTGTAGATGTAAAGTCAGAGACGATAGCTCATCTGCTGCTGCACAGTTTGTGTTGGTCATCCTCTAGTCCTTCATCAGTGGTCACAGGACGCTGCCCACAGGACGCTGTTGGCTGGATATTTTTGGTTGGTGGACTATTCTCAGTCCAGCAGTGACACTGAGGTGTTTAAAACACAGCACTGCTGTGTCTGATCCACTCAGACCAGCGCAACGCACACTAACACACCACCACCACATCAGTGTTACTGCAGTGCCGAGAATCATCCACCACCCAAATAGTACCTGCTCTGTGAGGGTCCATGGCGGTCCTGACCACTGAAGAACAGGGTAAAAGGGGGCTAAGAAAGTATCAGAGAAACAGATGGACTACAGTCTGTAACTGTAGAACTACAAAGTGCACCTATATAGTAAGTGGAGCTGATAAAATGGACAATGAGCACAGAAACAAGGAGGTGGTCAGAATGTTATGCCTGATCGGTGTATGTGTGTCTTAATCTTTCATTGTTAAAGGTGCTTTCAGATTTTTAAGTTACCCACTAATACCCCCTTATACCATGACAGACCCTGGCTTTGAACTTCATGCTGGAAACAATTTGGGTGGTCTTTTTTCTTTTGCCTGAAGAGCAACACCCCCGTTATTCGAAAATATTGACTTGTCAGTCCATGACGAGAACACGTTTCCACTGTTCATCAATTCAGATGAACCTTGAGTCCAGAGAAGTCAGCGGCGTTTCTGTTGACATATGGCCTCTGCTGTGCACAATAGTCTTAACTTACATTTGTGGATGCAGCGACGGACGGTGTTTACTGACAGTGTTTACTGACAGTGTTTACAGACAGTGTTTACTGACAGTGTTTACTGACAGCAGTTTGTCAAAACCCATGTGGTGAGATCTGCCACAGAAGCGTTTGATGAAGTGCTGTCTGAGGGGTCGAAGGTCACAGACATTCAGAAACGGTTTTCTCCAGATTGCCTGAATATTTTGATGATGTTTTGCACCATAGAGGGTGAAATACCTAAAATCCTTGCAATCGTTTGTTGAGGAATGTTTTCTGATGCTGTTGGATTATTTGCTTTTATGCTTTTGCCAAAGTGATTAGCCTCAACCCGTCCTCGGTCATAAAGGACTCAGCCTTTCCTGGATGCTCCTTTTATGCCCAAGCATGTTTGCACCACCTGTTTAAGATGTCTTTTGAGCATTTGACAGTGTTCCCAGTCTTAAATTGCCCCTCTCCAAACTTTTTTAGGAACCTGTTGCAGAGATCATTTTCAGAATGAGCACATTTATACAAAAAGCAATTGAGTTAATAAGAAAATATTAAATATGTTGTATTGTTTTTGTTTAAATTCAGGTCACAGTGGATTAACAAAAATGTTTCTGTTTTTATCTGCATTTCACACACTGTCCTTTTTGGGATTGAGGTTTGTACATTACAGTACATTATACAACAGTTGGCTCTGGCCACGCAAGCTGATTGGTTGAGAAGTGTTCTAACCGTGCTGTTATTTCACCATAACATCAAGTTTTTTTTTTCACACTGTATCACTCCGCTGAGACGCCGTTGCTAAGCAACGACTTTGACTGCTGTAGGAGACGCTCAAGCCCTTTGAACCTTTTTACTTCTTACTTTGCCACAAACAGAAAATGGACACTTTTAAGATCACATTTGACCGACAGCCGATTTGGTCAGACTCTGAAGATGAGACGACACTAAATTCCCAAACTGTCATCACCACTGAGCAGCTTTTCAGTCGGCAGCTGTGACAGAAGAACAGCTAAACAACCTGGAATCAGCCAGAAATGAACCCAACACCATTCGCCAAACTAAATGGGCTGTAAGATGCTTTACAGACTGGCTGGAACAAAACAACATTAATATTGATCTGGCAAACAACGACAAAACTGAGCTTAACCTGATATTGCGGCAGTTTTATGGCTCAGTCCGATTTGGTCAGACTCTGAAGATCAGACTACACGTTTGGCGAATGGTATTGGGTTAATTTCTGGCTGATTCCAGGTTGTTTAGCTGTTCTTCTGTCACAGCTGCCAACTGAAAAGCTGCTCAGTGGTGATGACAGTTTGGGAATTTAGTGTAAGGAGCTGGAGAACGAACTGCCGGCTGTGCAGCGAGTGGGCGGAGCTCGTTACTCTGACGTAGCAACAAGCTGCTCGTTAAGGAACTATAATTTGGTGAAGGAACTGCGGACATTAAAACATATTAAACGCCGCGTTCACGGCCCAGTTTATTAATTTATTACTTTATTCATTTAACTGTTTTATAAAAGCAATAGAACACTCAAGGTCGTGTATTATCACGAATAACACACTCCCTCTCGTGTTCTTTTGCTTAGGTGTATCGCTGTCTTGCGTAATTTAAGAAAAAGAATGCTAAGATAAAAGGCATGAGAGTGAAAGAGTATGTGTGTGATATTTGTGCTGCTAACAGAGGCAGGTTTTGTTTTTCTGCTTTCAGGAAACTTACAAAGCCAGCAAATACCAAATCTCCCCTGATTTGACTCATGTGCTGCTGGCCTACAATGTTGTTCCGGTGAGTCCTTTACTCTATTCGCTGTTTTCTCATAGTAGTAACTGACAACAGATGAACGGAAATGGATGAACGTCCTCCAGTCTAATTGTTTTCCCATTCGCTGGAGTTTAAACAAATCAGACTGGCCACAGTGTCTTTACAGCACTGAGAGAGATGCTTTTTCCTGTGAAACTAGAGACCTTGGACTATCTAACAGGCACAGTTTGGCAACGTGGACCATTTCCTTTACTCATCATATTACCATGGTCGTTTGTAAAATAAACAGTTTGTCTTGTCGCATTGCTTGGTCTTAGTTCAGTTCACCATCTTTGTAGCTGACATACACATTATAGATGTTTTTAATCTTTTGACTCTCATATCTCATCTCAATCTCATATACTCATGTGTGAAAATGTTTACTGAGGATGATTATCAACCAATATCTCCTGTTCTAGTGTACAGGAGAGTTTATTGAGTTTGTTTATGGACTAATATCTCCTAGTGTATAGGAGTGTGTATTGAGGTTGTTTATGGACTAATATCTCCTGTTCTAGTGTATAGGAGCATTAATTTGGGTTGTTTATGGGCTAATATCTCCTATTCTAGTGTATAGGACAGTGTATTTAAATTGTATATGGACTAATATCTCCTATTCTAGTGTATAGGAGCATTAATTTGGGTTGTTTATGGGCTAATATCTCCTATTGTAGTGTATCGGACAGCGTATTTAAGTTGTATATGGACTAATATCTTCTATTCTAGTGTATAGGAGCATTTTTAGGTTGTATATGGACTAATATCTCCTGTTCTAGTGTATAGGAGTGTGTATTGAGGTTGTTTATGGACTAATATCTCCTGTTCTCGTGCATATGAGTGTTTATTGAAGGTGTTTATGGACTAATATCTCCTATTCTAGTGTATAGGAGCATTAATTTGGGTTGTTTATGGACTAATATCTCCTATTCTAGTTTATAAGAGTATTTGTTGAGGTTGTTTATGGACTAATATCTCCTATTCCAGTGTATAGGAGTGTGTGTTGAGGTTGTTTATGGACTAATATCTCCTGTTCTCGTGCATATGAGTGTTTATTGAAGGTGTTTATGGACTACTATCTCCTATTCTAGTGTATAGGAGCATTAATTTGGGTTGTTTATGGACTAATATCTCCTATTCTAGTGTATAGGACAGTGTATTTAAATTGTATATGGACTAATGTCTTCTATAGGAGCATTTGTAGGTTGTTTATGGACTAATATCTCCTATTCTAGTGTATAGGAGTGTTAATTGAGGTTGTTCATGGACTGTTATGTATGTATTGATGTTTTTATATTCTACTGAACCGGGTTATAATGCTTGATATTACTGTCAGAAATTACGATAATGATGTTTTTAAAGATATGCAAAAGATAAAAGGTCTTAATGTACATATGAACAGGATGAAGGAGCTGATCGTAATGCCTGCTGATTATTTGAAGTATTTATGACCAGTGAATTTGTTTCCTCTTTCTCCTACAGCTATACCAGTATTCCTACACAGCCTTCTATATCATCTGCAGCTTACACACTCCGTAAGTTTCCGCTCTTCTATCTTATCTCTGCTGTCGGGCCCTAAACATGAAGAGCTCTTAATTATGACAGATAATCACTTAGCAGGAGGTCTGGATAAAACTGTTTCAGCCCGACTCACTGCGACACTACGGTTCACTTAAATGTCAGGTGGTGCTGCCACCTGGTGGCCCTGCACTCTAATAGAAGGCTTTTTCAAGGGGTTTTTAGTAAAGGCAGTGGTTATATAGAGCAGTGTTTCTCAAACCGGTCCTCTGAGACCCCCAGTCCAGATTTTTGCTCCAACCTAACTCACAACACATAAGGAGAGAGCAAAAATGTGGACCATCTGGGTTTGAGAACCAATAATATAGAGAACCATGACAACTCAAACAACCATTTTAATGCTTCAGTCGTTCTTCACATAGTTAAATGCATATAATGTTAAACATTTTTATTATCAGTGGTTCCCAGTTTAAATGTTGGTAATCCTTTAGAAAAGAGTGTTTCTGTTGTTCAAAGCTAATCAACTATTAAATTAATCTAATTTTTTTTCTAATAAAACTAAATAAGCTGGGCTTATTCATAACTCAGGTCCAGACTTTTCATCTTCTCTGTTTTGGATATCATTATTTTCTTCAAAAATCAAAGAAAACTTAATAATTATGTCAAAACAGAGATTAATCTTTCATTAAGATATGAGAGGCTACTTTGAAGAATCTGTTTAACATTTTTTGGTGTCTGCATAACTCCATATGTGTCTTTTTAACAGCTTTGATGTCTTCACTGATTTTTAAAAATGTGGACAATAGTGAAAATAAAGAAAAAAAAAACTTCGATAAGTAGGTATTTCTCCTGAAAAGAATGGAAGCTATATTAAAGACAAAAAGTGGGCGCACTAAATGCTGAAAATTGTGATATTATATTTAGTTGTTGAGGCTTCTGGGTAATTTTCTGTTAAATATACTGTTGTATGCAAACGTTCGGGCGCCGATTGGTCAAATGACGTGTTGTTATTGATCTCTAAGTAAACATAAGTTAACAGATTCTCTGCAGAGAACACACTTCTGCACACTCTAATGCACAATTACTGTTTATTCTCTGAATTTAACATTTTGAGAAAAAAACTTTAAAAGTTGTCTTTGGAAAATTATGACATTTGACATTTTTCCATGTTAGTGTTACATGTTAAAATCAGCAAATAAATATAAATTATGTGCTAAAATTAGCAGAAAAATTGCCACATATAAGTGTGTTCTCTGCAGAGAGTGTGTTTTCACTTAGAAAATCAACCAAACAAGTACTTTTACTGGGAGGCTGGGGTTTAAACTTTTACATATGACTGCATGATGTCATTTTTTCCCTGACACTTAAAAATGAATAAATTGCACTGTATGAGAAACTGAAATGTAGACCCACATACAGGCCAATAGAATTAAAAAGGTTAACAGCAGTGAAAGGGTTCACAAAGCATGGATGCACATATAGACAGGTTGCGATAGAGAGGTTTATATGAACTGTTTTGTGTGTGCTTTTGTTTTCCCCTCAAAGGGACACCGTGGTTCTGGCTGCACCTGAGGTGGCGAGCACAGCGCTGCAGTACGCTGGATGGGGTCCTAAAGGCCAGCAGCTGGTGAGACACTTATACACAAGTGCATGTGAATCTAGAGCAAACACCACGCTGAGGACAAATAGATGAGAAAGTAAGTGAACTTTAGCTTAAAAAACACTAGGGATTTGCCCGTCCGACCCAGTCCATGGATATTCTGATGGGTCAGGTATCGGCTATATTAAGCCTGATGTGGTACCAATCCTTTTTTTCTGTTTACGCCGCTGTTGCAAAGCCGCCATAAATGATATCCACAGCCTGCAGTGGTAAGGCACATTTTCAGTAGTTAACAAAGCAGTGTAAGTAGCTACGCTTCCATCCAGAGGACTTTTTCCTAAAAAACATTTTAGCGCTTCAAAAAGTTTGTCGATGTAGGCTATGAAACGGAACTTGTCGGTAATATTTCATGAATGTCAGCAAAACTTGTTTGGAAAATCGTTTGCCGATACGTTGTGAAACATTGGAACATTGTTCCTACATTAGAAACATTACATAAATTTTGTGTCATCTGACAGATTTTCAACACAGTTAATTTTCAATAAAGCTGTTTTATTCAAAACAAGTCCTGAGCGGAAACAACTCATATGACTCCCTGCTCCCTACATAGTGCACCACGTAAGAATTAAAATAGTGGCTCTTGCACACATACGGTGCATCACAGGTCTAATAAATAGCCATTTGGGATTTGATCATGTGAGCACAATTCAGTATTGGACAAATAGTGCACTACTTTAGTGTAGAAGACAGAACTTGCATAGCGCACTATGAGATTCAGCCGCTGACAAACTGCTACAACAGCTTCGCTAACTTGTGCCACACTATGCACCGAAACTAAAAGCCAGGCAGCTCCACAAAGACAGTTTAACAAATCACTGTATTCATGGTTATTGGTGTAGGAGCGTTCCCTGAGATCGGCTCAGACTGTGAGACAAGAAACCAAAATTTGTGACATCTCAGAAATCCATCTGATTGTCTGACTGCTCAGTCAGAGCTCGTTTGGACAGTTAATCGAGCATCGCTGCCCCCTCACGTGGCACAGCAAACGACAGCAAAAAAATGAAGCTGTAAATGATGATATTCAGTCGGCTCTGACCAGATCGACTCAAAAACTGACTAAAATCACTTTAAACATGCTGGCTCGCAAAATCCGGTTGACTCCACTGCTGCAGCTCTTGATGTCAGAATTTTATGTCACTGCTCCATTAAAAACACTGAACTATCCAGGTTTGCTGTCAATGTCAGAATATAAACGCAGCATTAAAGGGATCCTTGAATTTCAAACGTAATCAGAATGCACATGCTTAGTTTTTAACTTATTAAAAGTGCTAAGCGTGTCGTGTTACTGCTCTGTCAGCAGAGGTGTTTCCATATTGTCGTTTCAGTAGAAAAGTGCCTCCTGTGTTTAGTCAACTTGAATATGATCAGATATCAGTTTCTCTAAAAACAAGGTGACCTCCTGAGTTGAAGGCGAACTGGAGGTCCAGGAAAGTGTTAGAGTGAAGAAGAGAGCGAGGATGACCCACATGCTGATGTCCACAGAGAAATAGTGTCTATGTGAGTGTGTGTGATGAGGCCTGGCAGGGCTGAGCAGACACACACACACAGTAGCAGATGGCATCAGGGTGGCACAGCTTCAGTCCTGGTGAAGATACTGGGAGTCTCATCTTCTGATGACCTTCAGCATGTAAATATGTGCGAAAAGCAGATATACATACATGTGATACACATCATATCGAGGGATGTGGTGGTAAAACCTCAGTGGACGCCCCAGTACATACAGTCTTATGCAACAGTTTGGGCTCCCCTGGTTAAATGACATGTTGTGTTGAAAATAAAAATAATTGAAAATAAGTTACACATCCTCTATAGAGAACACACTTCTGCACAGTTTAATGCACAATCACTGTTTATTTGCTACATTTCTTTTCATATTGGAAAAGAAAATGGAGCATAAAATGTGGCCTGTGCAGAAGTTATGCCATATTTTATATTTTATCTTGTATTTTTTCCACAAATAAAATAAATGTAAATTATGCACTAAATTTTACAGAAAGTTGCCATATTTAAGGATGTTTTTTCACTTAGACATTTAAGGATGTTTCTTTTTTTCACTTAAAAATCAACAAAATGTAATTCAACACACTTGTAATTGCAGGACGATGGACTGCATATGTAAATCAGGCATATCGTTTCAACCCTTTAGTCACTACAGTGTTATTATTTCACGCTGCAGTATTCTCTAGAGTGAGATTTTCCAGTTTAAAGACTAGACAAAGTGATGACGCTGAGGGATACCGAACAGAATATTATAACTGTATGTGTGTGTATATACATATATATATATATATATATATATATATATATATATATATATATATCTACCGTTTCTTTTAGTCCATTCATCATGAAATTTACATACAGTGTAAAGGGCAACAGGTCTTTTCAAATGATGTCAAAAACTGGAAAATGGAGATCAAAAATGGAGATACAAGGTTTTCTTCTGACAACAGTGAGATACATATATGTATATATATGTATATATTTGTATATATATATATATATATATATATATATGTATATATTTGTATATATATATATATATATATGTATATATTTGTATATATATATATATATATATATATATATATATATATGTATATACACACACACACATGAAAGTTTTGAGACACATCAGTTTTTGAAGATGGGCAGATGTCTTTGCTGATTTTGTAATCGAGCCATTGGAGCTGAAACTGTCTGCATTAGATCAGTGCTCATTTGGCATGAGCTGCCTGCAGCTGCAGTCTAGCTTTCCCTCAGTTATAAAGGGGATGATTTAATAAACTGCCTATGATTACTGATCCATGTGAGTCTTAAGCAGATGTAGCGTACGGGGATTGAACTGCTGTGTACTGTAGTACTGCTGCGTGTGCATGTGTAAGAACAGGTGTTGAAAAGTGTTCTCGCCCCCCCTTAAAATAAGGGAACGTACAAATCACATTCATTCAGACAAGTTACACAAGGGTCGAAAATAACACTAGAGGGCAGCAGTGAGTAATGATTGTTCGTTTGAGCTCAAGCTGTTTGTCTTCAGTTGGATGTTCTCCTTTATACTAGCTTTCACTTGCAGTTGCAGCTAATGTTGTTGAAGAACAATGATCGAACATTCACGATAGGTGGTGAGAAGTTTCTAATGTCACCTCTAGTTTGTCTGTTGTGGTTGTGTTTGAGGCTGCCAGTGTTGCAAAAATGTGTATGTAGCCGTTTTGTTAGATGTGAAGCACCTGATAAACCTGCCTGGTAACTCACTCACTCACGTTTAGCAGGAGGATTCTCCACAAGGGGAGCTCTCAGGTAGCTGTTAGTAGTCCATAAGAGCAGTGCCTCTCATCAATGGCATTGTGTGTGTTTGTTTAAAATAAGAACTACAGTTAAGTTTGTCTTCCATTTTTCGCATGAAACCTATGGGAAAAGGAATGAGATGCTGGTAGGAACAGGAAGTTTATAGAGTATAGATTTGGGACTTCAGACAATCTGTGTCCACGATTGGTCCAAGGCATTTGTCGGAGCCGATTACTTAGACTAACACGTCACCACGACATAATTCATTTGCGCAAAGTTTAGACTTGTCACTCTGCCGCAGTGTCCCTTCTTGCCTAATGCTAAATCGCATGTAGTAGTCACGTCCTTTCATAGAAACTTACTGGTCACCTTGTGTTGTAAAAGCATGGTTAGACTTACAGCAACACCATTAAGCAAATTCTTTGGGAGTAACAGCAGATTCTGCTCTGATTTGTCCTTTATCACCCCCTCACATTGAATGTTTTTACCACCACAGCAATGTAAGAATGCACAGCGAGTTTGTACAGAAGGCTTTGCGATGCTTTGACCAGGCTCTGTCATTTGTGTTTGCATACTTGCATTGAATACGTTTCAAGGCCAAAAGGTTTTTATCAGTGAAAAAAAGAAAAGAATTTATAGAAAGAATACAAAAGAATTTATCAGTGGAGCTGATAAAATACTCAAACTGTGTAGATACAAGGAGGTGGACTTAACGAAGTGGCTAGTCGGTGTTTGTGTCCGAGATTTCTGAAAATCCTTGTGTGCTAGTGTGTTTGTGTGTATGAGCATCAGGTGTGTAATCTGTGGCTGCTCAGCCTCAGCGTGGCTCTGAGACCTCAGGCAATTAGTCTGCAGCAACAGAGAAATCAGCAAGAGCCAAACCCCCAGCAGCGTGATCGCACTGAAGGTCACCCTTCAGACACCCTCAAGGGGAGGCAATGACACGCCACAGATGCAGGATTAGGGGAAAACAGACGTCTAGAGGAAGATGGAATAGAGATTAGCCCTAACTTACTTACTGAGCGTGCATGTCCACTTTGGTCAGTAAAATGGATCCGGTTGTGGAATTGGAGCTTTTATGTGAGCTATTGTGAGTTCTGTCACTGTGTAAAAGAAGCTGCATGATACCTACAACGATCAGGCATAACATTATGACCACCTCCTTGTTTCTACGCTCATTGTCCATTTTATCAGCTCCACTTACTATATAGGTGCACTTTGTAGTTCTACAGTTACAGACTGTAGTCCATCTGTTTCTCTGATGCTTTGTTAGCCCCCTTTTACCCTGTTCTTCAGTGGTCAGGACCCCCATGGACCCTCACAGAGCAGGTACTATTTGGGTGGTGGATCATTCTCTGCACTGCAGTAACACTGACGTGGTGGTGGTGTGTTAGTGTGTGTCGTGGTGGTACGAGTGGATCAGACACAGCAGTGCTGCTTTGGCCCCCTATTTTCAGCGAAGGGAAATCTTAATGCTAGAGCATGCAACAAGGGCTGATGCTTTTGTGCACAAAGAGAACTCCATAAACAAATGGTTTGGTGTTGAAGAACTTGACTGTACCGCACAGAGCCCTGACCTCAACACCGTCCAGTGACTTTGGTATGTACTGGAGTGGCAACTGCAAGCCAGGTCTTATTGCCCAACATCGGTGCCCAATGTTATTGTGTCTGAATGTAAGTGAATCCTGACTGCAGTGTTCCAACATCTAGTGTAAAGCCTTCCCAGATGATGTTTTGGTGTCTACATACTTTTGGCCACATAGTGTATTAAAGTGTGACAACATTGGTGAGAAAGCACGTTATTAATGTAGAGGAGCAGATTGAAAGACAAAAATAGCTGCTTTTTGGTAGATATTAAAGGGTTAAGCAGAGCTCTGGCAGGGAACCAGCACTGTAGATGACAGCGAAGGCAGAGACACTGTTGACAAAATGTCATTGTCAGTCACAAGCTGGGACACACTCTGTCACACTGAGTCTCTCCCTGACGTCAGCACCATGCTCTTTTGGATGCCTTTGAAAGCTCCCTTTTCATCTCGCCTTCTTTTTGAAGCCTGTAACTTCCCTCTTACACCACATCTCTCCCCCAAACTCCATTTCCCTGCATACAATATACAGCGATACTCTTCGAATGCGCTAATTGCCTCATTAATAACAGCATAGCTCATTAATATTCACTTCCACAGTAACGATGGTGTGCAGTCCGCTTCCGATCTATGTAGGAAATGAGCAGTCTGGTACGTAATGTACTGCAGCCGCTGTCATGACTAGATCAATGATAAACTGATTACATACAGAACCGAGCAAAAGTTTGTGCACAGCTACTCATAGAAGGGGTTTCTTTTTTCCACATATTAGGATATGAATGAAGAAACTGGCTTTATGTTCGTTAACTCAATAGTTGTGTATGTAGTTTACTACGTAATCAGTACATAGTATATATGAATTCAGGTGCTGGGTAGGTCACAGGTACCAGGAAGACGGAGGTTCTGCTGACTCAAAAAGGTGCGACACAGATGCAGAGGCAGTACACAGTAATGTAGAAACAACTTCACCAGTTATATTGGCCATGTTGTCATTTTTGGGCTGGGATTTCATCACATATCAATGTTTACTGCAGTGATTTCACTTCTTAAGTAGCTTTTCTTCATTCGATTAACACAAATTAACACTAGCAAAATGCTAATGAACAACTTAATTAATACACCGATCAGGCATAACATTATGTCCTTGTTTCTACGCTCATTGTCCATTTTATCAGCTCCACTTACTACATAGGTGCACTTTGTAGTTCTACAGTTACAGACTGTAGTCCATCTGTTTCTCTGATACTTTGTTAGCCCCCTTTTACCCTGTTCTTCAGTGGTCAGGACCCCCATGGACCCCAACAGAGCAGGTACTATTTGGGTGGTGGATCATTCTCAGCACTGCAGTAACACTGACGTGGTGGTGGTGTGTTAGTGTGTGTTGTGCTGGTCTGAGTGGATCAGACACAGCAGAGCTGCTGGAGTTTTTAAACACCTCAGTGTCACTGCTGGACTGAGAATAGTCCACCAACCAAAAATATCCAGCCAACAGCGTCCTGTGGGCAGCGTCCTGTGACCACTGATGAAGGACTACATGTCAGGCTACAGTGTAGGGTGCACGGTTATGCGGCGTAGATTCAACAGAGAAGCATAAATTGGCCAAAACACGTCACTGAAACTCTTTGCACCCTATAGTCTGTGAAGTATGCATGCTCACAGTGTTCTTCCTGAGGCAAATGACAAACGTTCATGAGGTGTTATCACCCTCTACTGTGTTGTCAGTGTCACTGCAGTGCTGAGAATGATCCACCACCCAAATACTACCTGCTCAGTGGTGGTCCTGCAGGGGGGTCCTGACCACTGATGAACAGCGTAAGGGGGGTTAACAAGTTACACAGAGAAACAGATGGGCTGCAGTCTGTGGACAGTGGGTGTATACATAGGCAGGATAACAAGACACAGCTGAATTGTATTAAGGAGATCGTCACAGCAACCATTATGTTTTTAATCGTAGCGTGGTCACTTTGCTGACCACACGTTGAGCTTGTTTGACTATTCACTTATTCACTCATTCATTCATTCAGCACTGTGCATTGCTCTTTTTCAGTCATGATGCTCACATTGTTGAGTAGTTGTGTTGAAAACTCTCTCCGCAGTAAAAGCAGGATGACTCAAAGCTTCCTCCACCGCGCCTGCCAGCAAACCTCTGCAACTCCTAGCACCGACGCCAGATCACCCTCAGCTGTCAGTCATCTTTTTGACAAACACTCGGCTGATTAGCACAGTCACGGTTCCTCACTGAGACGAATTCTCATCAGCATCGTTGATGAAGTGCACTAAGTTTACGTGTGCTTCTGAAAAAGATCTCATACACCTCAGACTAAAAACTTTATACCCAATTTTAAATACATTTTTCTCTGTTAGCATTCTGCTCTAATTCATTTGGATTTCCCAGAACGCATTGCATGCTAGAATTATCCTCTCAGCTGCAAGCAGGCATTCAAACAAGATTACAGGAGAAGAGAAAGCATCTAAGTTAGGTACAGTATTAACCTAGACATGTTGTAACAGCATTGATCAACCTCAAACAGTAGCTAAAGCTACCTATTATTATTATAAAGGTTAACCAACAAAGTAAGATATCGTTAGCTAATTTTTTTAAGCTCTTTTGTTGTGGCTTTCATTTTTGAAGCATTGTCTTGATGTTAGTTTGACAGTAACAAACATAATATTTGTCAGATTCTCAGAAACGTTAACGAACATTAACGAGTTCTGTGGTGCAGCATTGTGTCTCTCAGCCTTGTCAGTTTCAAGGAATTCACAATTTTATGTGGTTTTCATATTTTCGTTCATCAGTGTTCTCTCAATAGTAATAGGCATGCATTATGAAAATACATCGTACAGCTGTTGAGAATCTCTGCGGTGTCAACCAGTCCTGCTAGTGTAGCCACTTATCTGTAGGCTAATAAATACAACCAGGTTAGAATTACTTTTACCTTAACTTTACATTTATGGACTGTTTTCTTACAGTGTAAAGGGAAAATGACTCTATTTGTTTCATCCAGCAACAGAAGCTAATCTACAGTAAATAAAAAATGGTCTAAATGCTTTTATTGTCTATAAAGAATAAAAAATCTGTGATTTTAGAATGAAATGATGACCCCATCACTGGATTTGCTGTCACTCTCTCCAGCAAGTCATACTCAGAACTGTGGATGCCAGAGTGTCAGTAATCTGAATGCATTTGCTTCTTGAATTCAGATTAATTCAAACCTGTAATTGTAAACAGTGTAAAAATCATGTTTGGGTCCTGATGGTATAGGAAAAATTCTTGGCTCAGTCAAGAAACTGTGCCCTCTCAGAAATAAAGGTGCTAAACTGTCGCTGGGGCAGTCCCCCTCTTGTCACTGGGGTGGAACCCTCAAGGGTTCATCTCAGTACCTTTAGTCAGGGAACATAACTGAACCATAATCCACTGAAATGATATGTTCTAAGCTGTACTGACTCCACACACCCCGTCTCGTCTCCAGGCTTTTATTTTACTGTTCTGTTTAAAACATTCGGTTATGAAAAGGTACAAATACGAACTTTTCACCTGGAAACACTTATTTAAGGTTCACAATCAGACCTTAAAACCACTGTTGTACCTTTGAGGGAACATTTACATTGTTTGTAAATTGATGTCTGAGATATTTACCTGCACAGAACCTTTAATTCTAACAGTGTATCTAAGAAAAGAACTGGATGTAGAGCACATAAAACAACAACAATTGAACAAATATTTTCAAGCACACTCGGCTTCTGAACTTAGATTTAAAATGGCCTGTTTTGGGATTTCTCTCCACAGATCTTCATATTTGAGAACAACATCTATTACCAAGCCACCGTGAGGGACAAACCAATTCGCTTGGTCACTACAGGAAAAGAGGGCGTCATATTTAACGGACTCACTGACTGGCTTTATGAAGGTGAGGAAACATATATTTTCAATTTTTAAATTCACAAAGAATGGCAGAAATGCATGGGGTTGTCTACTAATTTCAGACCTCAGCTGTTTGAAACAGCCACATCTTAAAATTCATGATTCGCCAAACAAGCGTCAGTTGTCGTAACTGTTCATAAGGTGAAATGTTACGGAAATCGGCCTTTTATCAAAAGCAGCCTTTTATAAAAAGCACTTGTTGGGATAATCCTTTATAAATGTTTATGTAGGTGTCTTGTAGCCTTACGAATGCTGCCCTTAGTAAAAGATTAGCCAGTCTCTTAGTTTTCTGTCCTGTACAGAAGTGTTCTGCTTTAATATTTATTTATTCAGTGTATTCTGATTGTTTTTGTGCTGAACAGTATAATTAAGCCCTTTTTTACGTTCTCTAATCTGAGTACTGTGCTAATAAATGTACTTGCTTGTTTTATGACTTTCTTTGAGACGCTCCACTGCTGAGCGAGCTGTGGGTCATTAGGTCATACGACTGATTTACTCACAGCTGTTCTTGCAAGGGTGGAATTAAGGAGGAGTTTATCCTCAATGAGTGTTCTTCACTTTGTGATTTGTGCTTTTGTTGAAGAGTCACACTGAATAACAGGCAGTGTTCTCCACTGTTCTCCACCATTTACACTGATCTACACTGTTCTCCACTGTTCTACACTGTTCTCCCTATTCACATTGTTCTACACTGTTCTCCCCATTCACATTGTTCTACACTGTTCTCCACTGTTCTCCCCATTCACACTGTTCTGCACTGTTCTTCACTATTCAACACTGTTCTACACTGTTCTCCACCATTTACACTGTTCTCCCCATTCACACTGTTCTACACTGTTCTGCACTGCTCAACACTGTTCTCCCTCTATTAACGCTGTTCTATACTGTTTACCCCATTCACACCGTTCTGCATGGTTCTAGAACGTTCTTCCTCCTTTCAGACTTTTCTACACTTTTCTCCCAATTCACTCGAATGTATTCCCTCCGTTTACACTGTTCTGCTCTATTCACTGTTTTAGAATGTTCTCTTCCTATTCACACTGTTCTTTACTGTACTCCCCTAATCACTGTTCTAGAATGTTCTCCCTCCATTCACACTGTTCTACACTGCTCCTTTTGGACAAAATGGCCTTTGCTGGTGAAGCTTGTACGACGTTCACAATTCTGTTTTTTATTTCTAGATTAAACTAAAGACTTTGATTGTTCATGGTTCTATATAGAACCATTTCTTTTACCTAAGATAGTTGTCCACCACCTTGAAATATCCAGCCAAGAGGAGCTCTGTGGTCAGAAACTGACCATTGATGAGAGACTAGAGGGTGGCTAGCAAACCGCGCATGAGCAGCTGAGCTACAGCGTCTCACTGTACACATAACAGTTCAGTATGTTTAATTATAACCTCCTCTGTGATTATAAAAGAAAATTAGAGTGTCTATTGAACAAACTGTAATTAGTGCTTAAACGCTGATAATTCAGTGTCAGATAAATACCACATTGATTTGAGGCTATTCATTTCCTTCTAATGAAATATAGATTATTTCACACACGGCTGTGTTTGTGTGTGACAGTACAGGTACGGCAGAACCAAAACTCTATTCATATAAGCCATGGTGCACATAAGCTATAGGGCAGTGTTGGAGCAGAGGTTTGGATATAGTCTCCGACAGCATTCTGAGGAAATTCGTACTGACAGAATCAAGCAGATAAGCTCTATGTACGGTGTTTAGTCTAGTGAACCCATATGGGAAAAAATCCATTCCAGATGTAGTTATTAACTGTAATTTTGCAATGTATGAAAATGTATTTGTTACATATACAGGGTGATTCAAAAAGATTCATCTAATTTCAAAGCAACATATGTTTACAACCGTGAGGCTCCTAGGAACCAATCACAATCCAATTGAAAGAGGGGGTCATAGAGTTTCTGACTGTCAGTGGAAGATGGCTCCCTTCAGTCTGAGAGGAGATGAGACCCCTGAGCAGAAAGCGTTCTGCGTTCTCCACTTCAATAAGAGTGAATCCGTCATAACTGTGCAGCGTGATTTTCATCGGCAGTGAACCTCCAACAGCTCAGAGCGTTCGTCGTTGGTTCCACAACACTGGATGATCTCCGAAATCGCACTGAAAGAGCCGTGAGTGCAGCGACACCCGACATGCTCAATCCAGTATGGGATGAGTTTGACTATGGTGTTGATGTTGTCTGTACAGCTGGAGGAGGTTCATACTGAGACCTTGTACAATTACAGGATAAACTTTATGCTCATTTAAACCATTTACAGTTCACTGCATTGATCTGTAATGATTTACATGTGAAATAAATCATTTTGAAATCAGAACAATCTTTTTGAATCACCCTGTATTTTTAAAATATGTTTATTTGTATTTGTCATTATATTTTTCAGTTGTATGTAGTTTTAACATAGATTACAGATATAACTAAATATACAGTAACTGAATGAACAGTACTGACCTCTGACATGCGCACATATGTGGCAGGACAGCGGTCACACACAATGTATTTCAAATTAACAAGATATCAAATCATAACCGCGTTTTCACAGAGTATCAATACCTACAACACTTGCTTTTGTCATGTTAAAGGGTCGTTTTCTAATATTTAAGATTGGAATACAAATTCATTTCTAAAGGTATCAGACAGTGAAGTGCATTAGACAGGATTTTGGCTGTTTTCAAACATTTTCAGATGTGTTTAAAACAATATATTTACATACATTTATTATTGTATTAGGTTCTTCTATTATAGGCTTGGCATCACAACTGTAGAAGAACCCTTTTTGGTGCTATATAGAACTCTTTTTGACTTCAGCACATTCTTCATCGACCTAAGGAACGTTTTTAAGATGAAAAGAACCCTTTAATCATGCAAAGGGTTCTTTGAGTGTTCATGGTTCTATACAGAAATGTGAACTTTCACCACAAAAAATGGTATCTGGAAAGTAAAATTGTCTTAAATGTAGTCAATAAATGAAATATTTTTCTCGTTTAAATTGTTGAAAGCTTAATTTAAGATTATTTAACTTATTTCTAGACATTTTTTTTGGTTTTAAGTTATTTTTTTAAGTAAATTTATGGCACTACACTGGCAGATAATTTTGCTTGTGGTAAGAAATGTGCTTAAAACCAACCAAATTATCTGCCAGAGGAGTGAGATAATTATAATAAATGAAATAATAACTTAAAACAAGTGAATAGTGTCTAGAAATCAGCTAGATAATCTTATAATAAGTGCACAACCATCTCAGAATGGGAAATATTAGATATATTGACTAGATTTAAGATCATTTCCCTTGACAAGATGCCATTTTTTGCAGTGTTCAAGGCTTCTTTACTAAAGAACCCTTGAAGAGCCATCTATTTAAAGTGTGTAGGTCTGTAGCGAAAACATTGCCATGATGCATTCTCTTTTTGTTCTTAATTTTATGTTCTTTCTTTTTTTTTTTGGTGAATTTTGATACGAAGCTCTATTTCCAAATGAAAATCGAGAAGCAGCTTGTCCACAGTTTTGTGCCAGCAGTAGAAAATTGAGACGAGCCGAGGGGTCTCGCGTCTTACTCTGACGTTTTAATCCCGTCCGTCTGTGTGTTCTGGTGGACGGTGGGGGATTAGCGCAGTGTGATGAGTGTTGATTGTGCCTCTGTGAGTGATTGCGATGGAGAACAGGGACGCGGGTCACCCGTCCTGCGCCGCAGCCGAAAACGCTGATGTATTGCAGTCGACACCTGATCAGCGAGTCTGGAGCTGCAGTGGAGTTTTCCCTCTGAAAATAGAAAAGCCCCACGAGTCTGTCTGACGGAGTGTGAATCCTGTTGAAGGAATAGATTGGAACTAAAATGGGCGACATCACAAAAACACAACCTAATAGTTGAAGACGTTTGCAAAGAAGTTGGAGTAGACAGAAAACACCACCAAACTGTAGTGCCACATATAAAAAAAGCAAACCCAGTTAAATTAAATAAAGTTTTCGTTGATTCGTTTCTCTGTTTGGTTTTGGGAAGCTTTGCCTTTTTGCAAGCTGCAGCAGTTTCAGCCCAAACTAGAACAAATTTCATCACAAAAACCTTTAGACAGAACAGTTATACAGTCGTTTGGGTGCATCTGGTCAAATAATATGTTTTGTTGATTCTCTAAGTCTGAACAAGTGAACAGATCCTCTACAGAGAACACACGTCTGCACATTTAAATTTTTATTTTATTTAATTTTATTTTTTTATTTTATTTCATTTTTTAATTTTTACATTTTGCAGAAAAATATCTAAATTCATCATAGTGAAGTTTGTTTTCTGTAGAGCAGAGGTCACTAATAGGCAAACCGCGGTCCGAGTCCAGACCCAGACGCTGTCTTATGCAGACCTGGACCTATAACCGATAAACTATGGAGAATTATTTAATTTTGATGGGGTGGTCCTATTTTAATCGGCACATGGGACGCTACTCAGCCAATCAGATCTGTGCATTACGATGAGCACTGAGACTCGAGTGAGTGACGCACACACCAGGGAGGGACGAGGCGAGGAACAGCAGTCAGAGAGGAAAGTGAGTCAGAGGGAAGTTATTTCACGTCGTGCTCTAAAAAGAGAAAACTGACAATAAATGTTGTTGAAATATGACTGAATTGTACTTTATTTGATTTGATATTCAGTTGTTGACTGTATAAGATGTTGATATACCTACTAGGCTCCTTCAGTAAACAGTATATGGCACTGAATCATGATGCAAGTTGACATTATGATGTTCCGGACTTTTGCTTGAGGAAATTTTCTTTAACTGGACGTTACTGAATGTTAATTAAAGACCTCTGCTGTAGAGGATGTGTTAAATTATTTTCTCTTTGAAAATCAAACATGTTATTAGACAAGAGTGTTCAAACCACTTCATACCACTGTAGTTTATATACGGAAAATGTTGAAAATACAAATTTTTTTTAATTCTTTCAGACAATCAGATCAAAATGCTTCAGAGCTCAAC